TACTGTAACTACTCTGGGGAGCAAGAGGATGTGACAGGAGGTCTGTGGTTTGGCATCTTTATCATGTCCTATGTTTTTGCCTCTTTTTTCCTTGATTTCCATATTTGGGAATCTGATTTGAAAAATGAATACTTACTAATTCAACAAGCATTTATGAAGTATCTATTAAATGCTATGCCTGGTGTTAATTTATAGGATTAATGGGATGAATATGATTTGTTCCCTGCCTTAAAGGTTTTATAGTTTAGTGAGGGAGTCAGACAAGAATATCAATAGGTCTTATATATTAAATTCAAACTCTCCCATTGCCCAAGTGCCGTGATCAAATGTACACCTTGGATGTTTTTCTCTGGGGTCAGTGTGTAGTATGGATTTAAGTGGGTTGGATTTGAAGCAGGGAGAGTCTGAGCAAGACCATTGAAGGAGTACAGGTAAGAGATAAGCACCTAACTGTTAAGTCCTTGGAAGGATTTGATTTTTCATCTTTGATACCCAAACACTTGGCATTATTTATCATGACACCAAGTAGAGGGAATGGCTAGTTTGCAGGGTTCAAATAATCTGTGTGATTGGAATATTCAGTTCCCTCATGGTGTGTCCTGAATGTGAATGGAATAGGACAATGACTGTTTTTCAGGGGTTGGGAATACCTTGACATTTCCCTTGAGTTTGAGGGATTCTGTGTAGTTGAGAAATTGACTTAGAAATGTTATGTGAGACATTCTTATAGAGGGCTAGAGTTGTATGGGACATTTTGGGCATGACCCTAAATGTTGCCTAACAGTGTGTGTACAATGATAATGACCAAAATTATTGTTTCTTTTCTGCCAGATTAGATGCCAAGGGAAAAGTTAGAGACCTTCTTCTTGGATTTGAGTATTGTTATAGCAGGTAGAGGGAGGGTGGGCAAGAAAGAGAGAGAGAGGGAGATAGAGATAGAGATATAGAGATGGGGATGAGGGGGAGAGAGAGAGAGAAAGAGAGAGAGAGAGAGAGAGAGAGAGAGAGAGAGAGAGAGAGAGAGAGAGAGAGAGAGAGAGAGAGAGAGAGAGAGAGAGAGAGAGAGAGAGAGAGAGAGAGAGAGACACTACATAAACTTTGCCTGGAGTAGATACAGTAGGCTTGGGGGAGGTGCTGGTTGTTCACTTCAGGCATAAGATTCAGTGAGTAAACAAACTCATAGGGCTATACGAGATGTACTCTATAAATTCTTTCCTTTTGTGAGAAAGCTATAAAGCCCATGAGTTTTCAGGTTATAGAGTAAAGAAGCTCATTGTTTTGAGTTTATAATCTGAAAGGTTGAGAATGCCTTTGTGTCACTGGGAAGTCTGTAATCACTATGAATTAATGATGCAGAATACAGTTACAGGAGTCATTTACCCACTTAGAGATCAAACAACTTTGGGGGACTTCTGGAACTTTGCTTGTATGCAAATATTTTATGTTAATTACAAAAGACACATCACTGAAGTTAGCCTTACTTCACATCAGACCGTGATATAAAGTATGATCAGATATTTTCCATTTCTTCTGTGAGTGTGGGAAAGAGGAATGACTTTAAAGGGAAGCTCTTTCTTGGTACAAATAATATAACAAACAAGCAAATAGTAGAAGACTTATATCAAATTGTCAGGAGAAAATCGTGATGGCTATTGTGGTGAGAAAGCCTTCCTTGGTTTTGCCAAACTCTATGTTTTCCTGAGTTTTGATAATAGTCTTCTACCTTTTAGGGATCTTTTCAGGTATGGCTAAGGGACTGAATAAACTCTTTAAGTTCAGTATTAACCTACTATTATATTTAATTGAAAGTAACCTTTGTGGCATTTGCAGAAGCTTGGGCTATATTGAATTTAAAGGTGATTTTATTATCTCTAAGTAAGAAAAGAATTTCCAACTTTATTGTCAGTAAACATCTTTAGCAATGCAGAAATAATATGGGTTTCATAGGGACACACTCCATGATATGAAATCACTCCCTTCTATGGCTATATAAATGTTTTTGTTTTTTTTATATCTTCAGAAGAAGCAGAAAATTGTCCCCTGTTAAGATGCATAAGTGTAGTTTGATTGATCTTTATTAATACCTTCTTATAATAGGCACCATGCTAAATGTTTTCATGTCCATGATCTCATTACATCATATTTTATTAAACGAGGGAAACAGGTAAAAGAGACTAGTGGGTGTTGTTGTTGTTGCTATTTTTCCAAAGAGACAGAATGTGGCAGAACTAAGACTTGAAGCTTTTGACTTTGTGGTTCAAGGTACTTCCCTGTGCATCTGTATAGTATTCTATTCTTACCAACACACTGCTGGTAATACCCTGGCTGTCAGACAAACAGGCAACATTTCTGTTCCACCCACTACCACCTTCAACCCTCTCCCCAACTCCCAGGCTAAAGTCTGGCATTCTCATTGAAAGTGTCCACCTCTACATTTAATTCCTCAACTGTTATCTTCATCCATACCCAGTGTTGAGATCGAACTTCAGAATTCCTTGACTTTTAGAAATGTTGGTTTCAGAGGTCTTCATATACCCTCTGCTGTAATGTTAAGAGACACACTGTAGAGAACCTATTCATTGTAACTTCCAGATATATTTCAAATCTGAATTTTCTTTATTACCACATTTTTTATTCTAGCTCAAGCCACCAACTTGAAACAGACAAAAGTCTAGACTATGAGAGTATTTCATATTGTGCTTCCAGAGCATGGTGCATGGGCCAATAGTGTTGGCATCATCAGGGAGCTTGTTAGAAATGCAAAATCACTGCCCCACCCTGGACTTGGAGAATTAGAAGCTGCATTTTAACAAGATCTCCAGATATTTGTGTGCACTTTAAAGTTAGAGGATCTCTGTGATGACAGACCTCCTTTGCCTCCTTCATTACATTCTCCCCTTTGCATTCAATGTGATTTTTAAAAATGTATGTTCATATCATTTCTCCACTGTAAATGCTTTTTAATGGCTTCCCATCTCAAAATAAAACCCAAACTCTCTACAATAATATACGAAGTCCTCCAAGATCTGTTTTCTACCCATTCCCAGGCACCTGACTTCCTTTCAGTTCCTAAAACACACCAACAAGACTTGCCTCATTATTTCCTCTACTCAGAACACTCCCCTTTTGCTCTGGGCATGATCTTAGTTTTCTTAATCTTTATCTTTTTAAATGTCACTTCTTGGATAAAATTCACAAGATTCCTCTAGTTGTTCTCTATCATAACCATGCTGATTTCCTTCAGAACTTATATTTCAATTAGTTCTTATATTATCTATTTACTAGAGGCCTGATGCATGAAAATTCATGCAAGAGTAGGCCTTTCTTCCCCTGGCTGCCGGCACTAGCTTCCCTCTGGCACCCGGGACCTGAGCTTCCCTCCTCTGGCCGCCACAGGCACCTAGGACCCGGGCTGCTTCCCTCCGACCGCCAGCAGGCACCTGGGACTCCAGCTTTGCTCTGGCTCCAGCTTCATCCAGAAGGATGTCCAGAATGATGCCTGGAAGGATGTCCAGCCTAATTAGCATATTATCCTTTTATTATTATGGATATCCTAACCATTGTCCATTTCCCCTCTTGGACTAGATAAGGGTAAAACACATGACTATTTCCCTAATACTTAAGACAGTGAATGGCACAGGGAAGATACTCTATAAATTTCTGTTGAACAATTGAGTAAACATAGTTATGCTCTTGCTTATGGAACTTTTTTCAGGAGTATATAATTAAAGAGAACTTGTTAGTATTTATAATCCTTATAATTATTACTAGTTTTTTTGTAGTTTTAGGCTCAGTTAGCTATACAAATTCTGAAAGACTCCTAATACCAACTTTTAGCAACACCAGTGTAGTGATTTTTGTGTCCAAGCTATTTGCAGATGTTAGCTAGTTCTCATTTACCTACTGTAAGCAACATATATTACCTTTATATCAGATATCCAGCCATCTCCTTAATGGAAACCAGAAATGGTTTTCTATAAGTATAATTGCTTTGGTCAAGAGTTGATGAGGGAACATATTGTACAGATATTAATTTCTTTATGGCTTTTTTAAAGACAAAGTTCAGGAGAGGATGAAATGGTAATGAGTTCAAGGGCTGATGTCTTGAAATATTAGGCTACAACTGATGGCTAACTCAGGGTCAGAAAAAGAAAACTCCCTTGTGATGTATCATTGCACAATTGCATGAAGCAGATGTGTAATCGAGGCTGTATCTTTCCTTGAAACATCTGGCATTAGTCATCATGGAAGCAGGTGCCTAGGTTGAACAGATCACATGAATGTTCCAGGATGACACATTTCTGTTGTTTCTGGGTTGCATTTGAATTTTCTTTGGCTTCTGTCAACCCAAGCACATTAATGATCAAAATGATAATGCAGAGAAAGATTGCCCAAGAAAGAGGGGTAAACAAGGTGGTTGCTGCTTCTGGCATGATGAGCTCTGGGTTTTAGAAAAATTAGTAAGTCATTCTGTGATTGACAACCCATGACAGTCCAGATGTAATATTTGTATACTTATTGTGACAGGTTGAGTCACAATTTTGATGAATGGTGCTTGTCTCAGAATAGAAGGTTTGCCTCTAGTTAGCCAAAGTCTTTGCTAGGTCTTAGCCAACCATGGGTCAGGGTGTCATAAAAGTTTACTGAATTGTACCCTTTGTCCTCACATCAGGCTTTGTGTCTCACTTGATGAAGGTCTACAAAAGTCCTGGAACAAGGTTTATAAATGTATAAAACTTTAGCCAGGGTACAACTGTGAGAACTCACTAAGAGAATGTGGTGAAGTCACCTGTTCTGCGATGCTTTTTCCCTTTGCTTTCCTCTAGCATGGCATTAATTCATTGATTGTTAGATTTCCAGGATGAAAACCATCTGGTTATTCAGGTCTGTGGATTATGATCTCTTAGAATCTCATGCCGAGTTTGGCTGGAACTTGTGAATAGTTGAGGTTCTCATAGTGGCTCTGTTTCTCAAGGTGTGGTGTGCTAACTATCTGTTTCAGACTTACCTGGCATGCTGGTGGAATGCAGACTCCTGGGGCTGTCCCTGCAAATCTACTGAATCAGAGTTTCTAAAATAAGGTTTAAAATTATACGTTTCTAACAAATGTTTCAGATGAACCTGATTAATCCTAAAAGTTTGAGAACTATTAGCTTCTGTTAAAGTTAAATGTGCAATTTTAAAATTATTTCTAATAGACATTAAATAGAATAGGGGATTAATATAGTCAATAAAGATTTTGTGAATCAGCAATAATTTTACAACCCATTTTTGGTTTCTCAGCTATGATGCTACTGAAATTATCCTACCATTAGAAATTTAAGTATATGAGTCCTCAATAGTGACTCTCTATAGAACAAAAACTTATTTTCAGAGATGGTTTACATGGTTTGGAGTGCATGTGTGTGTTTGTGTATGTGTGTAGAAGAAAGGAGAATTAACCAGGAGCCTGTTGTGAATGAGGATTTTAGATTGCTCTTTCTTATCCCAAGTCAAATACTTACGGACTACAAGGACTAGGAAGACTTTGTCTTTTTTTTTTCCTTTAGTGAAATGATTTTAAGAAATTTCCTTCTGTCTTTTTCTTTTGCAAAATATATCTACTCCACCTAAACTCTTCTCATGACCATTGTTATTTAACAAAAAAATCTATAGTACAAAGATGCAAAAATCATCATTTGAAAACCAGGGTGTTTTTAGTCCTCACTGTTTGTCATTTCTTAGGCATATTTATAACAGACAAACAGTAAATACACAAACTGAGTGTCATCATGTAACCAATACTGAGATTACTGGTACCTGAGAAGTCCCTCTTTTTCCTAATTCCAGTCACTAAGCCTTTCCAAGAAGAATACAATTTCCTAATGTCTAGAATTCATCTTATTTCTAATAAATATCTACTCATTTTTTTTCTGTAAACATTAGTCTTTCTGTATATATTGGAATCCTTAGCATCTTGATGATCAATATTTATTCAATTTGACCTTTCCTGACTAAATCCTGATCTTTAAAAGACAGTTTCCTTTTGCTAATTTGTAATTCTAGAATTTATCCTTTATTGAGGGAAGTTCTCTAAGCTCAACTTGAGTCATTTCTGTTTACTCTCTGTTTTGTTTCTAATCTGAAATGTACAAATTAAAATATCAAGATGGTATTAAATAGTCAATATCAATTATGAAGCAGTCGAGGAAATTGCTTGAATTACATTAACTTAACAACCAGTTGACAACTTTTTCCATTTTATACAATGGAAAAACTTGGTCAACAAGCAAAACAGTTGATGGGATATAATGGATTTGATGCAGTAGTTTATTGGGACTGGGGCTAATCCAACAGGAATTGAGATTTGGTATATTAGGGAACTACAAATAAAAATAAATATGGAACTATTGGGGACTTCACATAATTTTTTTCTATTTTAGTGATAAATCAGACTGATAGTCTCAGCAATTCTCAAACCTATTGTCTGCAGGATTTAAACAAAAAGGTATTATGTCAATGTGAAAAAAATATTGTACTTGGGGTCTGACACCTTATGTGGCCATAGGAAAGTTGTATAGCCTCACTTTAAGATTCAGTTTTCAATTCTATAAAATGAGAATAATATTATTTTCTTTGAGAAGTTGTGCTGAGAAGTAAATAAGATTAATATTTCTAAACATAAATAAAGGCCCAAATATAGTAATTACTTAATCAATGTTGGCTTCCCCTATCTTTCAGCATGGTAGCATAGAGTTTTCAAACAAATTTAACATGGGAGGCCGATTCTAGTATAAAAGAAAACAAAACTGTACTATAGCCTTTTCCATGCATTCTATTATTTACTTACCATTCCAAAACAAATTCATGCTAATTACATAGAATTTGGAAATTGAGATTCGAAAAAATTCTCGCTTAATCTCACAGTTTGGAGATAGCCATAGTAAATATTGGTTTTTATAAGTAGCTTACTTAGCACTGTATTTAGTACCCCTCAGAATGCTCTGCACAGAGAAGGCGTACTCAATGTTTAGGAAATTGAACCTTTCCAAGAAGATAAGACAGTGGTTGTAAATCCTTTAGAAACATTAATTACAGGCTTAGAATTGAATCCAGCAGACTTTCTGTTCTACCTGTTGTTTTTTTTAATCCTCAAGGACAGATACTTGTCCTATTAACTTCTCAAATAGCTCTAGGGGCAGAGATTACAACATCTCTTTTTATAACCGGGTAGGTCTCAGAGCAGATGTTAATAAACTAAATCATTTTAAAACTCAATTTTATTAGGCTTTCACTGCATTTTAAAATTAAAGGCAGTTTTTTCCTTTCTTTTTTTAAAGGAGAACAGCGTGGTGGGAAAAACTGAATTAGGAATGCCAAGAGCTGAGTTGTAGCCCCTGCTCATTCATTCATTCATTCATTCATTCATTCAATCATTCATTTCCCTGCCTTAGGACCTAGGTAAGTAGTGCAACTGTGTCACCTTGTAGTAACAGGGGAAATAATGCCTATGCTGCTTTCTTCGCATGTAGTGATTGTGGAAATCAGTTGTGATGATGTATGTGGTGATGTTTTCCATGCACTATGGTGCTATAAGTTTTAGTATGGATATGGCAACAATAGGAAACTGTGCATAACATTAATATAAATAATTCTGTTGGGCTCTACATGAAAGCAATGAATGTAATTGACTTTATTCTCTGCCATTTATTTCTAGGTTCTTAATCATTCTAGATGAGTGTAGCAGGCTGAGAGTTATACCTAGAAAATACAAAATTCTAGAACTTTTGTGGATTATCATGTCATCTCTTTACTAAATTCTAGTCTAGAAATTCGGAAAGCAGAATTAGGGGGTGGGGGAGATAATACATTTTCCAGCCCTCATCTTACCTAGGTCTAAAGGTCCATTTATATTACCACTTTCCCTTAGTTTCTATCCTTAGATACAACATAATGATAATTGTTGTTCAAAGCATTAGCATTTGGGGAAAAAAATAACATTAACCCCTAAATAATATAATCGTGTATCCCTTAGACATGTGGTAAGATTTATATGTCCCTCAACAGAGAGAATATACATTTTGAAGTTAGAACAAACTGGGTTGAATTATTGCTCCACTTCAGCTATGTGACTACGGGCTAAGTCATTATCCTCTCTAAGTCTCAGCCTCATGAGGATTAAGTGAAATGGCACATCTAGTGTACCCAGGACAGGGCTTAGCCCATTGTAGGCATACTGTGTTAGTTTTCTTTCCTTCTCTTTGCACCAAAATATTTCCTCATTTTAACAGATAAGAATGTTTGACAATTTAGAGTAACATGAAATATCTATTGGATTTATTTTACCTAGGAATAGTGTAAAGATCTATGCTTTTATTTACATGCATTAAGAGGCCAGGAATTATATTGTCGAAAAATATGTTTTATAGGAAATTTGCCTGCCTTGCATAATGCACAAACATAAGCTACAGTTGGGTTAATGACTTAAATGTGAAATGGGAACCACAGAAGGGATAGAAGAAAGTATAGAGGGATATTTTAATGGTCTTGGATTGGAAAAAGGCTTTCTCTCCATGATAACAACTCAGGGGGAGTCTTAAAAGAAAAATATGACACATTTGATTGTACTAAAATTTAATACCTCCGTTTGGCTAAACAACAACAACAACAACAACACACAAACAAACAAATAAAACAAAAACAAACAAACATAACCATAAAACAAAGGGTAAACTGTGGAAATTCATTTACAACTCAGAAGCAAAGGCTAATAGTCTTAACATCCTTATGGAGCTTTGTAAAGAGCTTCAGCAAATCAATAGGAAAGATAACCAATTTAGTACAATAAGCAAAAGTCATAAAAGGGCAATTATTTAGGCGACTCACTCTTCCCACCTGTAAAGCTTACTTTGGTAGTATTGAGTCCAAGTGCTGATAGGATTAAACCACCTTTATATGAGAATGGGAAGACAATGATCCTATATTGGAGCACCATGACTAGCTCTGTTTTGAATGAATGAGTTTTCTTAACTGGCTGAGTGGTTATGCCTGTAAGTTTCCTAAAAAAAAAAAAAAAAAAAAAAAAAAAAAAAAAAAAAAAATTGCTTAAAAATTCTAGTTTTTAAAATGTGATCTTTCCAAACATTTTCATTTACTTTGTCCTCTTTGTCAGAGCATTCAAGAACACACATCTAATAATTTCTTGATGACCCAGTTCATCGAGGACTGATTACTGTGCTAGAATGCAGTGCAATGAGGTTAGGAAGAGCTGTTTATCCCTATGCTAGCGAGGGTCAGAGTGCTATGCATTTTGAATTCTTAGGGAGATATTAATGCTAGCAACAAAGACAATCAGACAAATTATAGTTACCCTTTAAAATCCCCTGGAAAGTTTCCACCATGGAGATGAATATATAATCACTCTCTAGTAATTCCTGAATAGCCCATTTTTCTTTTTCACTGGAAAGAATTGTTCTTTCTTTGATTAAGACTCAGATAAGATAGTTGGTTTCCAATGTGGGACCGGGTTCTATTAAAAAAAATATGTGCAGCCCTAGCTGGTTTGGCTCAGTGGATAGAGCATTGGCCTGCAGACTGAAGGGTCTGCGAACAGATTCCAGTCAAGAGCATATGCCCGGGTTGCGGGCTCGATCCCCAAAAGGGAGCGTGCAGGAAGCAGCCAAGCCTATCAATGATTCGCTCTCATCATTGATGTTTCTCTCTCTCTCCCTTCCTCTCTGAAATCAATTATATAGGGCGGATAGGGAGGATGTGGCCCTGCCCCCTGTCACACACAGAGCAGCAGGGTGATCAGGGGGTTTGGGCGCTGCCCCCTGTCACGCTGATCCCAGTGCCGGGAGGCCTCGCAGCTCCGCTGATCCTGGTGCTGGGAGGCATATTACCCTTTTACTATATAGGATAGAGGCCTGGTGCACTGGTGGGGGCTGGCTGGTTTGTCCTGAAGGGTGTCCTGGATTAGGGTGGGGGTCCCCACTGGGGTGCCTGGCCAGTCTGGGTGAGGGGCTGAGGGCTGTTTTCAGGCTGGCAGACGACTGAAGCTCCCAACCGCTCCTTTTTTTCTTTTTTATTTTGGGCCAGCTTTAGCTCTGAGGCTTGGCTCCAGCTCTTAGGCCTCTGCTGCTGAAAGCAGGTATCTGGTTTGTTTTGGTTCTATAATCGAAACACTGTTTCACCTCCAGCTCTGAGATCCTGGCTGGCTGAAAGCAGGTTTCTGGGGTTTTGTTTAGCTTCTATGTTTGTAGCAATGTTTCAAACTGCAAGCTCAGAGGCTGGCAGCAGCAGGTGGGGAACGTTGGAGTCCTCCGTCACTGAAGCAAGCAAGCCTCATGTTCACTTCAAGCTGCCTGGCTGCTGGCCACCATCTTGGCTGGCAATTAATTTGCATATAACCCTGATTAGCCAATGGGAAGGGTAGCAGAGGTATGGCTAATTACCATGTTTCTCTTTTATTAGCTATATTTTTTTCAAATCTTCAATTAAACTCGGGCACTCTGTGTTTATACTTTACATGAATGTGATTACATCTTCATACCTACTCTATGAAATATACCCATTTTACAAGTGAGAAAATGGAGGCTTTGAAAAATTAAATTCCTTACCAGCTGATGCATGGGAGGTAATAAATGGAAGAGCCTGAGATTTTGATTTAGATTAATCTTATGCTATACCAAATTTCTTAGAATTGTATGTAAAATAAAAATAAAAATGTTCAGAGTGAGGGTCTAATAAACTCTCCACTGAATAAAACATGGAAGTTTGAGGTCTGAGCCTTGCGAGTAAATGTGTAGGAGCTACTCAGAGGCTTGACTGTCTTCTGCCTCTCATTGGCATTCTGCCCAGGTGAGGCATTACTCCGCGTATCTGTAGCGATGATAAGTACAGTATGAGGTGCCATGGTTTATAAAGATAGAGTTTTTGATCATGTATGCAGCTTGCCACACTGTATTATATGAAATACATTGTGATTGAGCAATGAATGAAAATAATTTCATCTTCTCCTGGGGATTTCGCATTTCACACCTCTACACTGGCATTGTCCTCATGAATATTTCATTGTGCCTCAGAGTTGGGTAATAGAATTGAGCACCTCAGAGATGGAAGCTTTCCTGGGAGGGATGTGCATAATCAGACGATGAACAATACAATTGACTATGCATGATGTAACTCCTACTATATACACCCAAAAGAAAACCCTGAGTAAGGAAAATAAACCCACCACGGCATGTTTGCTGTTTATTCATGATTGCACAGTTCTTGGCTTCGAAACTCTGGACTCAAAAATGGTGACGTAAATGGCAAGAGTTATGGGGAGTCTCTGAGAAACAGGGACTTTTATATAAACCTTTCTTGTAATCATTGTGATCAAATGACTTAATGTGCCTCTGTTGTTTTTTTTCATTTTAAAGAAGAGATTAGCTAAGGAATCATTCTCCAAACCTTACCTTAAACCATGAAGTCAAATACGTGCCCAAATGTTTTAGATTTTCATGACACTTAAGCTTTTTTTGTGATTCCTTTTCATTGCTTTCAGTAAGAATCCTTTGCATTGCTCTCAGGATGAGTTACTGTCCTGTCTTCTCAGCCATTATCTCTCTCCTTCTCCCATTCAGTCTCCTCCTCTCTTCCTCCGCCTCCCCCTCCCCCTCCCATCACATAGCTGCTCCACAGGAAGAGCCAGCTTAAACACATTTGTTAAATTATACATTTTGTCTACTTTATAAAGTCATTTATTCCTCTTATTAAGCCCAGGTTGCTACAGAACTTCCTCAATTTTTAATGTATGACCTGCCATAAATTATTTTTTTCAACATTTTACTTTGGAATTAACACTAATTTCTTTGTTTTGTAAAATCCCATGGATGAGCAGCTCCATATTTTATTCTTCCCACTCTCTACCTTCCCTTTGTGCCTGAGGAAATGCTACTGGTGGCCATGCTTTGGAAACCTTGGCTAAAACCACACACAAGCTGGGTGACTTGGGTGACTTTGGGCTCTTGCGTAACTTCTCTAAATCTTCACTTCTTATCTATAGACTGCAGGTGATAATAATAATGATGCTTCATGGAGTCAATGTGAGGATTATACAAGATGATGCTTATGAAATTCTTGGCATATTGTATGTGTTAAAAACATGTTAACTTTTGTTATGACTGTCATCATTTCACTTCTCAGTTCTTTTGTGTTTGAAACACAATCTGTGCTTTAGAGTTCATATTTGCTTGGTAACATTTATCATAAATGTTATGTTGTCCTGATTTCAGTGTTCCCACCCATTCTGATTCTTCTTCACTGACATCATTCTCTTTAGTTACCACTTCATTTTTCTCCTTTTATTGCTATATGGCTTAAAGGAATATTCTGTATTATTGGGTCTGGGTTCAGAATTTTAGAAGCCCTCAGCTCTGAAAAGACTGCGGGACCCCCACCCGCCAATACCCACCCCTATACAAGTCAAAATAAAATAATATATTTTGAAATGAAACAATCCTATAGTAATTACCTCTCACTTATAGGTGAGAAATATGAGCTTTAAGTGATGAGATTAAATTAGATTTTTGTATTTTATAATTATAAATTTCTGAATCAATTCACTGTTCCTGAACTTTTTACTTATTTAGAGGGGCAACTATTAAGCTGCTGTTAGCGTCTGTATACATAATTCAACCATGAAAGGCAGTTGCCATTTCTTTAAGAAATACACAATCACACACACATATACATACATACTACTATATGTATATGTATACATATATACACACATGTATTATACATATAGTCATGATATTGTTTACAGTACATAAAGTCTGGAGGGAAATGATAAGGACATAAAGACAGCTGTTTCATCTGCCATTTGCTAGCAGATTTTTGTGTAGTTTTTTTCAAAATGTATGAGTCTCCTTTCCTCATCTGTGAAAATAAGGTCATAACAATATTTGCTTCTCAGGGTTGTTATGAAAATTAAGGAAGATTATGCAGGTGACAACACTTGAGAAGTTATTAAGCATTACATAACTTCAGTGCATTAAATTTAAATATGATATGCTTTCTTTGTCTCATTAAATCATTTAGATGTGAGATCAAGGTCAATACTGAATAATTCTTTCCTACCTATCCCCAGCTGTTCAGCAACGCATTCCTGGATGCTTAGTGAGCATAGACTCTTTCCCACCAAAGTGTTGTTGCCATGGTAAAGTTTCTTTCATGACAAGGAAAAGGCCAAGGGGCAGGTGTAAAAAGTTACACCCACTTCATAGACTTGTTGGGAGGTTTAGATGCAATTATTTGTAAAGTACTCACCACACTGCCAAGCGCATAAAGAATGCTAAGTAAATGAAACTGTGATAGATTGTTATTGATAATGTCTTTGGAAGAAGGGCACATTCCAATTTTTAGTGTTATTCAGACCTGTGGTTCAAGATTTACAGAAAGTGAAGGTGAGAGTCAGATTGAGGTGAGGACAGCCAAATTTAACATGGAAACAGGCACAGGATATATAGACAGTAGCATCAGTCTTCCTAATTTTTATAGACGGTGATTTTAGATAGCCAAGCTTATTTTTAAAAATACTATAATTCCTCATTGGCTCCTATGGAAGGTGGGCGATATAAATTAGAAAGCCTTTATTTTTCTGAGCATCATGGGGTTTGGGGTGCAATTTGGGGGCAGTACGTGAAACAGAGCTGAAATTTTCAGCATTCTAAAGGGAAGAGGTATTTTAGGATCCTGAGGAAATTAGAGAAGGAATAGGAAGAGTCAACAAGTTTGGGCAACATGTAGTGAAGGAGAAGAGGAAGAGAAATCCTGGTAGTAATTTGGAACAGAAAATAAATATCTAATGGAAGCTTCAAAGGTTTTTGGAAGAATGTGCAATTTAAATATCATCCTCCATCTTTGCTACAAACTCTTCAGTAAAATCTGCACTGCTCATGTATGCTTTGGTAAAGATGAATTCTTTAGATGAACTATGAGATGGAGAGGTACCACTGACAGAGGGCTAGCACACAGCTGGTGCGTTTGAGAACACTGAAGTCACACTTTGCCTTTCCTGGTTGCCTTTTATTCTGACATCCTTTGTTCTCAGAGGCTTTCATTATACAGAGCAGGCTTCCTCATTCATAACTTTGAAGTCACCTTCAAGTTAGGCTGTGACCTCTGGAACCCCCAATTCTACTTTAATATGCATAGTACTTTGATGTGAGGTGTTAGAACTATAGTTTAAAGGATAAGGAGGCAAAATCACAGGGATGCCGGTGGTAATGGTAGTACCAATAATTGCTACTGGCTGTAGAGAAAATCATGGTATAATGGAAAGATCCATGTACTATTTGAGTTAGATCCACTTGAACTTGAATCAAGATTCTGTCATTGTTTGCACTGTGACTTCAATAAACTTTTATTATTTCTCTAAAACTTAGGTATTCTCTTTCATAAACTCTTTCCTTGTAGAATTGTGAAAGGCCCACAAAATCAGAAAAAAGAGGTGGGAGAGCAACGGGGTGAAGAGTCCAGTGGAAATCAGCACTGCCCACTAAAGCTGATTCTTTCTTGATTTTAAAGAAGTAATATTTTGTAATATTTTACAGAACATGATTAGTTCTACAATATACCAAAAGAAAGATGCTTTGATAAATATTTATGAAGTACTTATAATAATCAATGAAGTGTTTAGGTATTCTAATTTTTATTTTTATTGTGAATAATTTGATAAGTTTACATAAGATTCAGATATTCATACAACAGTTCCTATTCACTGCCTATGTATAAAACTCAATTTAAAAAAATTATTATTAAACTACCAAGAGGATAAACAACTGGCCAGTTATTTCTTTTTCAGCATAATTGTTTAGATGTTGATAAATTTAACATTTCCAACACCAAATATATACAACACAAAACATCAATAGCAATATACTATATTTTCAAATGTAATCTTAAGATTTTTATTATTCAAAAACATAAGTAGTGGAACCAAGATGGTGGCATAGGTGAACACCTGTACTTGTTGCCTCTCACAAACACATCAAAACTAAAATTAAAAGACAGAACAGATATCATCCAGAACCATAGAAGGGCTGGCTGAGTGGAAGTTCTGCACCTGGAAGGGAAGAAAAAAGCACATTAAAACTGGTAAGAGGTGCGGAGGTGAGGAGGCACGAGCAAACGGGCTGACAACTGGGTGTGCTGTTGTGTTTTTTCAATCGGGAGGGAGATACAAGCACCCGATTGCTCTGAACTCCCGTTCTGGGTGAGACTCTGGGGACCCTGACTCATGCAGGAAGAAACTGGACTGTCTGGCATGGGACAGGAACACGAGAGTATTTTATCTCAGAGGTGCTCACAGCAATCATTGTTCCTGTGTGGGGGCGCAGGACGCAGAGACACAGAGATGCAGGAACCCCCCAGATGCAAGGCTGACTGGCAGCCATTGCTGTTTGCTCCACCCTGGTGATTCCCTGAGACCCTGCCCCACCCAATTTACAACCCCACCCAAGCTGTGTGCAGTGGCTTTTGCATATGAATGGCCTGTCCTTTTGCAGCCTAACCTAACAAACTACAGCTGGGTCAGAGAGCTCCAAAGCTTCCAAAAGAAGGCCCAAGGCTTGGCAGCAGCAGCCTGCCTTGCTTCTCAGCTGGGCCTCATCTGGGCACTTCCAAATCCCAAACAAAGAGGAGGAATCTGCAGATCTCAATGTAGCTCCTACTGGGTGGCCTCAGGCAGTGGCTGACTTTGCACCTCCTTGGAGATCCCAAGAGCCAGTGTACCCAGTGGTCAGTGTGAGACCATACCAGATTACAACTCTTCACATCCATAAGTGACACACTCAAGGGATAGACTCAATGAGCACCAGCGCCCCACTGAAGCAAGTCCTGCCACATAAGGGTGTCTCCAGCATAGCAGTTCTTCCATTGTAGATACAGCTGGTCCTCACAGTCAATTGGCCTGAAGGTCAATTCCTCCCAGTGATACCAACAGCAATCAAGGCTTAACTACAACAAGATTGTGCACACAGGCCACAAAGGGGTGCACCAAGAGTGTCTACCTCAGGTGATTTGGGAGGCTGAGCCACTGGGCCCTGTAGGACACCTAGTACACAAGGCCACTCTATTAACACGGGGAAGCAGCCAAAATGCAGAGACAAAGAAACATGTCACAAATGAAATAAATGGAGGAAATCAAACTATTGGATCTAGAGTTCAAAACCACTGTTATAAAGTTACTCAAGAATCTTCTAGAAACCTCTGAGAAATTTAGTGAGGCCCTCAAGGATATGGAAAAGGACCAAGCAGAAATTAAGCATACACTAACTGAAAGAAAGAATAATATACAGAGATCCAACGGCAGACTAGAGGAACCCAAGAATCAAGTCAAAGATTTGAAATATGAAGAAACAAAAAACACCCAACCAGAAAAGCAAAAAGCAAAAATAATCCAAAAATATGAAGATGGTGTAAGGAGCCTCTGGGACAACTTCAAGTTTACCAATATCTGAATTATGGGGGTGCCAGAAGAAGAGAGAGAGCAAGATATTGAAAACCTATTTGAAGAAATAACGACAGAAATCTTCCCCTACCTGGTGAAAGAAATAGACTTACAAGTCTAGGAATTGCAGAGAATCCCAAACAAGAGGAATCCAAAGAGGACCACACCAGGACACATCATAATTAAAATGCCAAGGGAAAAAGACAAAGAGAGAATCTTAAAAGCAGCAAGAGAAAAACAATTAGTTACCTACAAGGGAGTACCCCTAAGATTGTCAGCTGATTTCTCAACAGAAACCATGCAGGCCAGAAGGGAGTGGCAAGAAATATTCAAAGTGATGAATAGCAAGAACCTACAACCAAGATTACTCTACGCAGCAAAGCTATCATTTAGAATTGAAGATCAGATAAAGAGCTTCACGGATAAGAAAAAGCTAAAGGAGTTCATCGCCACCAAACCAGTATTATATGAAATGCTGAAGAGTATTCTTGAAGAAGAAGAAGAAGAAGAAGAAGAAGAAGAAGAAGAAGAAGAAGAAGAAGAAGAAGAAGAAGAAGAAGAAGAAGAAGAAGAAGAAGGAGGAGGAGGAGGAGGAGGAGGAAGAAAGAAGAAGGAAGAAAGAAGAAGGTAAAGAAAACAATTATGAACAACAAAGTGACAACAAATATATAACTATCGATAAGTGAATCTAAAAATCAAGTGAATAAAAAATCTGATAAACAGAATAAACTGGTGAATATAATAGAATTGGGGGCATAGAAAGGGAGTGGACTGACAATTCTCGGGGAAAGGTGGTGTTGTGGGTGTGGAAAGAGATTGGACAATAATTTTACACCTATGGACGAGGACAGTGGTGGGGAGTAAGGGCAAGGGGTGGGCTGGGAACCGGTGGAGGGGAGCTATGGGGGGGGGGTGAAGAGGAACAACTGTAATAATCTGAACAATAAAGATTTATTAAAAAATAAAATAAAAATAAAAAAGTAAAAACATAAATAGCCAAGAAAAAAAAGATTTTTATTATTCAATTAGCCTATTAAATTAAGATATAGTTCATGTACTAAGGGGAGGACTACTGAACCATTTATTAGACAAAGAACATGAAATTATTCATTCTCCTCAGTCTGCTTCATATTTCTAGTGCATCTGGAGCTAGGAAATGCCAACCAATTTAAAAAGGAAATAATCACCATCTCTCTGCCAATATTTTCTGTCTTAATTGAACTAAAGATTATGGCTAACATTTTTCATTTAGCTGTTGCTGGGCAAAGATTTACCTTCTATAAATCTTGCTTACATAATGAACATAGTCTTTACTAAAGAAAATTGTCGTTCTAGTATTTAAACATTTTGGAACAACTAAGGGTATCACATAAAATTATCTTACAAATTTCTCAATTCATGATACTTGTTCAGCTGTGGGAATATATTTAAAGTTTCTGTTCCTATTTTTTAAATATATATTTTTATTGATTTCAGAGAGGAAGGCAGAGGGAGAGAGAGATAGAAACATCAATGATGAGAGAGAATCATTTATTGGCTGCCTCCTACATGCCACCTACTGGGAATCGAGCCTGCAACTGGGCATGTGCTCTTGACCAGAATTGAATCTGGGACCCTTCAGTGGGCAGACTGATGCTCTTTCCACTGAACCAAACCAGCCAGGGCCCTATTAAAAAGGGAATTCAAAAGCTGAACATAACTAGAGCCCTCCCTGAATAGCCAATATGCAATCATTTAGTAAGTAAAAGAGCAATTGCAAGGCTTATACAACAAGGCATTTTTTTCCAAGTAAAATTTTAAAATTACTTTAACAGGGGTGAGATAGTAATTAATAAAATCCATTACTAAGAGTAGATGACCTGATTCAGTACTTTTACAAGCACGTTTATTCATCTTTCAAAACTAAAGGAAGATGCTACTGAAACTAGGTCAAAGGGAAAAATAGTTTTTCTTAGAATATTGTATGATCTAATATTGCTTGACTTCTATATTATAGGGTAACAGATCACAACAAAGATATCATGTGATTTGTTTACATTTCAAAGAGATACATAAAATACTTTATTTCATTCTGCAGAGTTGAGAAATTATTTGATATCTTGACAGTTGCTTCCAGGGCTTTTTTAGGACCTTTAATGATAATACATGTTCTGATTTTTTTTTTTAGGCCTTACCTCAAGTAATTTTTGATGTATTATAATTAGAATTATTATAAACACTATCAAATTTTTTAATTAAATAAGAAAAATAAGTAATAGGATTTTTATAATTTTGGTTTATCATTTATAAACTTACATTATTATGACTTAATGTTGTTATATTGATATATAACCATTTCAAAAGTTAAGCTGCAATTGTCATTGTAGGGAAGGAAAATTTTTGTCTCCACCCTTCTAGGTTTGTTGGTTGGTCTAATAATCAAATTGAATTAAGACAGATTAACAGGAGAAAACAAGTTTAATTTCATATGTATGGGGGCCTCACGAAAACAATGAAAGCCAAGGACAAGTTGGGCAGTTGAAGCTTATGTGCCATTCTGAGTGCAGGAATGGATAGGGGCCTGAGCCTTCAAAGAATAGGATGGTAACTTACAGCATGGTAAGAAGAGGAGATATTTAGTAATTAAATATTTGTCCTCCTATACTGACAGGTCATTTAGATGAAAGTTCTCTCTTTTTCTCGACCGGGCCTCCTATCTAAATTTACATAATTAAAGAAGTAAAAGTTTTCCTTTACTCTGCTGGGTCTTGATGACCTTCAGCTCAAAATAACCTATATGCCAAAATGGCACATTTAGGGGAGGCTTGTTCTGAATCCCCTCAATGTAAAATTACATTTGGCTATTTAATGGAACATTTATAAATTAATTTTTTTCCATTTTCTTTTCATGTATTCAGGCCAATAGATTTTTTATATCTAATATTTTTATAGTTCCTGAGTCTTACACCCATAGATAAGTACATTTTTTAAAATCTGAGGTTATTTCCTTCTATCCCTCCTATGTTTCACAATTGATTGCTTTCTATCTAATATGTGTTTGTTATTGCTGACAACTGCTTATAATGAGAAACCATATTTTAACCTTTCATCAAATTTATAATAATTAGCCATTTATTGCATAATTAATCATGATAGTTGGTACCTA